AAGGGGTTTCGAAATTGGGGGGGAGGGGGAGTTGTTCAGCAGCAAAACAGAGGGGTGGGAGTGTGAAGAGAAAGATGAATACCTGACAGTTCAGTTGGAAAAGATCAGTAGTAAGAAGCATGAAGGCCTCTCCAGAGCATGAAGGTCTCCTAGGTTTAGGCGAGGAGGATAACTAGCCAGGTTAGAGTAGGTTTTTGGAGTCAGACTCTCAAAAATTGAAGGATAGCTAATTGGGTTAGAGATGCTCTTAGCTAGTTGACCCGTCCGGCCTGTTTAGGCTTGGTTTAATGACACGTGTCTGTCATGCTATAAAACTTTGGTTCATTTAGATATTAGGTTCAAGTCTAATTGTCATCCCAGGTTATCCATGTTGCGTTCGTGAATTGCAATGCGAGATTTTCATCTTGCGGGGTTACATATATATTAATTTGACTATGTAACTCCACCATGTGTGAGCATGAAATTAGATATGTAATATTTGAAAATTTTTGAATTTTTATGAAAAATGACAAAATAGTAATTAGCTACTATAGTACGAGTTAGAAACTTAAATTTTTCTAGAATTTGGATGATGAAACGGACTTTACCGTTATATTTGTCTAGAACTTGGATGATGAAACGGACTTTACCGTTATATTTGTCTAACGAAATCTAGTTACTCAATCAATTTTCATCAAATTACAAGACACTCAAATTTTTTACGTTTTACGAAGCAATCGGTGTCACGTGACCTAAATAAATGAGACCGGGAATTAAATTGCAAAAAGTGAAAAATAATTTACATTTACTTCAAATAAAATTTTTTGAACTTGAACCAAAACGAAATTTAATTGATTTAGGACAAAATCGAACCCTGAGAAAGGTAAACCTGTGACGCAATGTGGGCCAAGTGTCCAAGAAGTATAAATAGAGGAGAAAATTAGATTTTTTCCCCATTTGACCATCAAATTTTCGCTGGAAAAAAGAGAGAGGGAAGAGGAGAGGAACAATCAAGGGATTCTTCAAGCTTTTCTGTACGATCTATGACTTTTCCTTGGTCGAATTACCTTGGGCAAAGAAGAGAGAGTGTTCTACTCGACATGAGCTACAAAACCATACCAAAAATCGAAGGTCTAAATGAAATTCAAATAATGGGATTTTAGGAATCAAGGGTTAGAGCTTAATTTGAGTCTTGGAAGGCTTTCTTCCACTTGTTTTACACTTCAGGAGGTAGGGTTCTTCTCCTAACTAGGTTTATTTTCAACCTAGGGTTCCATATGATATGGGTAGCATAATTTGAGATGAATTATCTTGTTTGATGTACTCCTAGTATAACTAGAATATGGGAAATGGGTGTAAAAATATGTTAAACCAATCTTACATGAATTGAGTTCGTAGAATTTACTTGTTTGGTAAATTCATAGGAAATGTTATAAATTGGATATGATTGTGTGTTACATGATTGTATATCTTTTGGGTGTTTGATAAAATGTCTATGTTGATGTAATATGTTGGTTCCACTGAAAATGTTATAACATGCTTGGTAAAATTAATTCTAACATGAATTGGGTATTTAGAAATTTGTTTGTAATTTCTTGTAAAATGTATTGATTGGACATGCAAAGTGTTTTCATTTATGTCTTGAAGATGTTTAATGAAATGCCTATGTGGATTAAGTGTATTATTTACATTGATTATGTTATGACATACTTGGGAGTTGATGTTGGTATATGCATTATTATATATTGACATTAAGGTTGTTGATGGTGGTTACATGTTTATGATGTAATTGACCATAAAAAATGTTGAAGGATATTTAAGATGTTTATATTGAGCTCATAATATGTGAACATGATAATGAAATTCCAAGTGTAAACTATGTTTGCATATGCACGGAAATCATCGCATTCGTGGGCATTTGACACGAGTGTAAATATGTGTGCATGCTTTTGGATCAAATATTATTCTTGGTAGTTGAGGCGTGGACTCGGGAAGGTTAAACCTAGGTCCAACTGAGTTATACGATTGCATGAAAAACTTGTGTCGGATATAGTAAGAAGGGTTAGATTTTCCCTTGGGTATAAGACCTGGTTACCAGTTTATACACTTCTGACAGTGCAAGTTCAAAAAAGCGTATTGATGTGCAAAACCAGTGATGAGACACCAAAATCCGTGTACCCAAGAAAAACATATATTTATTTTATAAAATAATCATTGGATGTGTAACATCAATGACGGGAGTTTAAAATGCCTAAATTCATACGCATAACATTGCAAGTGTTATGGGAGCTAGTGAAAGCTCAGGTTGAGTTGTATGTTTGAGTCTCATCTCATGACATGACATAAAAAATTCTATTTTGAATTGCATATTCTTAAATGAATTGTTTGTTGACTGTTGAATCGCATATGAACATTTTATATGTATCTAAGTTTGAGAGTTGCTTTTTTATGAGATACTCTATTGATTGTGGCTCACCCTTTATGAGGACAATATTTCAAGTGCAGAACATGCACCTATGGATGACTCTCATTCGAACCCTTATTGATCAAAAAAAGTCAAGATGTTACTTTAAATTACGTTTTTTGTAAAACACGTGTAAATATTTTCAGACATGTAATATTGTGCAAAAATTGCAAAACAAACTCATATCAATTGTATTTTGTGTAAAATTGTTGTTATATGAGTTTAGGTGATTATTATATGACTATGTATAAATAGACCCAGTGTGGTCAATATTGTACGATTGCACATATTGACTTTTAAGTAAAACTCTCCGTACAAATGAGACTCTGCCCAAATTTTGTTAAGTTATGGATTTCGGTAAATGGGACATACCGGTGTGATATCGAGTTACACGGTATTCACAAGTATTCTGCGCGTTAATGGGTGATCAACAGAATAATTACAGGCATCAAAATTTTGGGGGCTTCACAAGTCATGAAATCAATTTCAAGAACTAGATATACTCTATATAGTATAAAAAACACTATAATGTTCATGCCACTTGCTGACAGTCTAGATTGATAATGGACGAATAATAAGTAAGCCACTCAATGAAAAATCATACAATCTCATCTTATGTATGTTAATTTTCCAACCACAACGCTGCATGATATGGGAACAAGACACTGGAATATACATTGTGTAGCACTCAAAGACCACCTTGCAGTCACATACAGGAAACAAATATAGAACTCTTCAAGGTCGACCACAACCATCTGAGTTCCAGCAGAAATTATAGAACAGCTAGTCAGAAAAAGTCCCGAGATGCCAAAAGTGCATTCCATGTCGCACATGAACGAAGCTATGCCACTACGAGTGCAAAAAATGCAGCACAAATTTCGAGAAACAAAAAGGGAGGCCCATGAAGCCTTTGCAAATCAATAGCATAACGTTCTCCACTTGCTTTATAAAGCTGTTGAGATAGGGGAAGGGGAATAAGAAAACTTTACTGGAACAGAGCCACCAAAAAAGATAAAGCCTCCAGAACTTTGCAAAGTACTTTACGCTAATGACATTCAGTGAGTAAAAATATATTACTCAATCCTAGTGAATCCATTTAAAAGAAACAAAAAACACATACACTGATTCAGACATTGCAAGTTTATGTAGTTTTTTTAATAACATTGAAGCATTTTGGAGAATAATCAATAATAAAAAACTTGTATGCTGAACTCCTGGAACCTCTAGACTCCATTCAAACAATACCTTGGGTTTTTATTTAAATAGTGTGTTCGTTTCAGGTATCTTTGGCTTTCATCAAAACAGTGATTTAGTTAGTTTGACGGCCAGGCTTTGTCCTAAGATCTCACTGCTCAAAGTTGAGCACACAGTAACGGTGTATTTGTACCAGCAGATGTTGAACCTCAAATCTTCTACTTTCAAGAGGGCATGACATACAACTATACCAAAATTCAGAGGGGAAAAAGATATACTCTCACTATAGTAAACAACAACTATAGTGAATGATCCAGAGCTGCTTCTTAAGGCACTCGTATTTGGAGGCTGATTTACCTGATCTAAAAGTTCTCTCCACAATTTTTGTTATCAATCTTATTACCCGTTATCAGTTCGATCATTTAAAAATGAATCTGAAACTTTGTGAATCAATTGACAAAATTCAATTGGGACCAAAATGACAGTTGGTGCATACTTGGGATACCATTTTGTATTTTTGCCCTATACAGTTGCTCAAACTAAATTAAACTTGAGCTTGAACTACAGGTCTAACCCAGCTATAGACAGTCGGAGTATTACCTGAATTTCAAACTTGATCGGATCACGTGATCTAGCACCTGTCCGATCTTCTTCATGACCATCAATCGGTTTTATTTCAGTGGAATTATCATTAAGTTCGGCCCTGGAATGGGTACCAAATGGAGGTAGCCAGAGACATTTCATGTTGCAATGTCCTATCTTCTTCCATCGAACATTCAGGCTGTAAAAAACCTTCAGAACACCCATCATCGTTTCATGTGGAGATGCTCGAGACTAGATATAACACAAAATCATTAACACCTAAATTCAGTAAACATGTTTATGGCAGTTAGTTTAATTATAAAGAAATTCTTAAGGCATTTATTATTGCCAACAAGTCTAATAGAATGTAAACAGTTGGGAAAAGAAAAACCTTAAAACCCAGTGTCCACTTTCCTTGAGCAGGATCAGGTGATCTCAAATATATCTCAGGACAATCCATGCCCTGACGTGGCTGCAAAATCAGACATTAATAATTAGCAATGTATCAACTGAAACCCCAATGACATATGAGGCTGTCTCACTGTTGAACTTGTCCCCTGGGAAGGTACTATGCCAATTTCCTTTATCAAAACAAAGCTGGCAACTCTTTAACATTCTCTTTTCTCAACGTAGGTTGCAACTTTCCCTTATCAATCTCTCTTTAAAATTCCAATATAGGCCCCAATATTTTATCATCCCTTTACTTGGAATGCATACTTGATAAAAATTGTATTGAAAGTCTCCAGAACAGGTACATTCCTTGAAGTTCAAACCATTAATTTCCATGTGTTTGATCCCCATGATTCTGGATTGGCCTTAACACTGATTTTGAGTTTAGATTTTAGAATGTGACTTGGAAGGTGCTTACCCCCGTAATAAGGCTTTACCAGCATAATTAGAAGAACTTGGAGACTTCGAATGGTAATCGGTTGCCATGACTTGACTTCAACTAGGTAGGGTATTTTGATCATTTTGACCCGAAATTATGTTTTATCTTCAAAGCAATCGAATTTGTTTTGCTTTACTGAAAGAACATTTTCTCTAGACCAATGTCCCCTTCTAGGCTGTAAAAGTGGATACAAGTCAGTAAAAAGGCATTTTGGTCATTTTGCATCACTAGCAAGAAACTTGTCATCAATTCCATTTGTCTTTTCAAACTTGTGCTTAAATTATCATTTACGTTAATTTTTAGCAAATAATCCTTCTTGGCTGAAATCAGAACCTCATCCAGTTAAGGACACTTTCTTTTTTTTTGTCATTTGGTGTGCCTCAAATTATCCAAATCAACCCTAATTTCACTAAGGAACTTCTAAACTCATAGGACAGAAAGGAAACAACCTGTGTTTAGCTGGTTGGCCTGAAAAGGGCCAGCATGGCAAGCAGGTATGCCAAAGGTGTGAAATCCCCCTCTAGCACACCTGTCAACTGCAGTTTATATTGCTCATAATCCAATTCAGTATCATTAACCAAAGACAGTGATTTACACTCTTACAAATACAGGATTTCAGATTGCAGATAATACGACAAAAGAGTATGGAGGCAATTAATTTATTTAGTTTTTGAAATGTTTGGCATGCATATCATTAGGTTATCGAACTGTCAAAGTTGTTTATTGGATGTAAAACTGTTAAACAAGGTTATTCAGCAGTTTCTCTACTTTTCAGATCCCTCCTCTGTCTACATCTCTCTTTGAAAGTTAAAGATCAGAACATTCTCCTATTTCTCTTCACAAAATCCCTCCAGATTAATAACGTATCTTTGATTTTCAACCTCTTCAATGCCCAGGTTATTGTTTCTTGAGTTTAATCATCTCTCTAAGTTATATATGGTTATCATAACATTTCTACATTTTGCATATATACTAGGTTTGTTTTATATATATTTTAGTCCATTTTTTATCCGATCCCGATCCTTTAGTTTGCCCCACCAATTAAAGGCAGAATCCCGATTTTAAAAACCATGAGAAAGTGGTCGAGTTTTCCCCCGTCTTATGTTGAGGCGTACTTTTGTCCCTTAGAATTTAGACAGTTAGAATGGTATTAAATACAGTAAGAGAACCGGCCTGGATTTTTTCAGTCTCTCTCTCTCTCTCTCCCTTTCTCTCCCTCTCCTCCTTTCTTTCTAGGGTTGTTTGTCTACACTAAAATCAACTATNCCGTCTTATGTTGAGGCGTACTTTTGTCCCTTAGAATTTAGACAGTTAGAATGGTATTAAATACAGTAAGAGAACCGGACTGGATTTTTTCAGTCTCTCTCCCTCTCTCTCCCTCTCCTCCTTTCTTTCTAGGGTTGTTTGTCTACACTAAAATCAACTATAGTATGACGATTACCAAGTTAAAATATAGTTCAAATATTTTCCCTGCAAAAGTAAGCATCAATTAATTGCAATAAGAAAGATGAGAAAACTTATGAATTCGAATACTATTGTAGCATTCGACTTACCATTTTTGAACTGTATAAGGCATTGATTGTGAGGTCAGCAATGTATGGTGGAAGATGGGGTTGAAACCAAGGATGTTGACGTATTTCAGGAATCGATATGCGTTTTATAGGATCAACAACAAGTATACAGGCAATCAAATCGCGTGCACCATCAGACAAATGATTTGGGGGTGCATATATTCCCTTCTGGTGGCAAAGGAATATCAGAGGAAGGAAATAGTGTAAACGGAAAATTGAAATGCAAGTGTTTTAGGTGACCTTTATCTTTGCGTATATGCTAGGAAAATCATCGTCACCAAAAGGAAACCTTCCACATAGAAGAGTATATAAGATAACCCCACAGCTCCAAACATCAACCTCAGGACCAGCATAAAGTTGTCCAGATATAACCTACAACAATAGGAATGTAATGTACACTGGAGCACAAGATTATCCCAAGATACATCTAGCTATTTGAACCCTCACCTCAGGAGCAGCATAACTTGGACTTCCGCAGCTTGTTTTGAGAAAATGACCATCACGCATAAAATTACTGAATCCAAAGTCAACAATTTTGACATTGCATTTGGAATCCAAAAGTAAGTTCTCAAGCTTGAGGTCTCGGTGAACTACCATGTGGAGGTGGCAATATTCAACACCCGAAATAATCTATTCTAGCAATGAATAACATTTTACCGGATTAATCTGAGCTCTTTGCAAGATCTTTAAAAAAAGACCAGATATATTATCTCTTTCAAAATGAATCAATAGGATCAAAAAGTTCTTCTCAAATGACATGGAAACCATTAAAAGATATTCCACTGTGAAACTAATTTCCTACCCAAAATGTTTTCCCATAAACTGGCTAAAGAATGGTAACAATCCTATAAGAGTGGCTAATCAAATAAAACCATATGAATTCTGAGCCAAACAATGNTGGCTAAAGAATGGTAACAATCCTATAAGAGTGGCTAATCAAATAAAACCATATGAATTCTGAGCCAAACAATGCCATCAAACTTTAAATGTAGAAAGTTAAATACACAATAATGGCTCATGCATTTAATTACTCTCTGCTCTATATGTTTTTCTTTTAGATCATTAGCTATGTGTTTCACTCATACGCAAATATATGCTTGTACACCTCATCTAACTTTAGTGGCAGCCAAATAAAATCTTCCTTTGTATTACTAGGCTGGCATGTGCTTAACATACTGTAGCAGTAATCATTGAACCCAAAAAAATTATAGCAATAATAGAAAAACTGAGCTCCTCCCTTGTAATGCATTTATTTATAATCTTTGTACTAAAGGATAATTAGTAGGCTGACCTTGCCTCAAAAATCATCTCCCAAGCATGCACTATATATCCCTATAAAATATTTCAACAGACTTCTACAAATAGCATATGCTACCATTCGACACTTTCCCATAAAAAGACATAGTTTATACATAGAATACAATAATCAAGAAGCAACATATCAGGAAAAAAAAAAGATAGTCACATCGAATTGTTGTGCTTGCATGTAGATGCTTGAAGAACATGTCATTACCACTAGAAACTAGATGAAACACCATCCTGCAAGCGTCTATGGAATATGCCTTACAAATCCTCTGAGTAACACAAATGAGAACTTCAACATTTTGTTGCCATTGAAGCTTAGCTTGAGCCTTGAACCTTCCCTCTTAATGTAGAGCATTGTTTTTGTTGTGAGCTTAGGTTAAGAGAAGTAGGAGGATTTAAGGTTCCAACTGTTTGAAGGGTGTTGACAGACTTCAGGGATGACAATGGACTGAAGGTTTAGAAAGTGACCGTTTGCAGATTTACAGGACTTTAACACATGAAATTCTGGACAGGAAACTTTTGGAGGATAAGGACCATTGGATGGAGGAATGGGCAAGAGTTGATTTGTTCTAGGTTTGTTGGAATTTGGGAGCTGAAAATAAAGTAGTTTAAGGGCTCTGAACTGTAGGTGGAGAATGGTAATTTGAGCTATACTGATACATAAAAACCAAGCACAAAATGAGAAAAAACCAAGGAATCCCACCTAGAGTTCCCCACGAATAACTCTCCTAGGTAAGGTTTGTATAACACGAGCACTCACAGCTTAAGAAGATACACAACTCATCATAAGCAAAACATCTTTATTTGCTCCACAAAAACCATTTTACGAAGACCAGAACAACTAATCTTGTAGTGGAGGGTGGTGCGAAAGCTAGCAGTAGAATAGCTTGCAAATTAGTTGCAACACAGTAACCTTTAGGTTTTGACTGGTAAACTCCAAGTATCCAAAGTTGATTTATAACCGAACTCAACACAAAAGCAGCTTACTAACTGGACATAAACCTATATTAGTTGACTAGTCACTGCCAACTCATGTACAATGACATAATTGCCAACCTGGTGAAAACCAAGTAGGTGAGCTGTACACGACCACTAGATTACTACAAGCCTAATTAATTGTCCTCTCCAAAAACCAAGTATAAAAATGTCCATATGAAGCATTTCTTAATTAGTCCTAATGGTTAATAACACTAGAGAAACATATGAGTTAAAAAGAATACTCAAACTCAGAGTAGAGCCCTATATATATAGTCAAATAATAGTACAAAGTGACCTAAACATCCTTGTAGTTTAGGCAAAATATAAAAGTCATAATAAGGGTAAAAAAAGGGAAAAAGAAACCCTAACAAAGTAGACTATATTCTAACACTCCCCCTCAAGTAAGACGCAAAAATATCAACTAAATCAAGCTTGACAACATAGTCCCAAAGAATAGATAGAGTGACAGGTTTAATGAAAATATCCGCAACCTGATCACTGGTTCCCACAAATAATGGAGTGACAATACCACAACTGACCTTCTCCCGAAGAAAATGAACATCGATCTCTATATGCTTTGTCCTCTCATGTAATACAGAGTCAGAAGCGAGTTGAATAGTAGATTAATTATCACAATATAATGCAGATAAAGAAGTCACTGAAAATCCCAACTCGACAAGAATCAATCGTAGCCAAATAATCCCACATGTGCCAAGTGCTAATGCCCGATACTCTGCCTCTGCTGAGGAGCGAGAGACAACTAATTGCTTCTTGCTCTTTTAAGAGATAAGATGAGTCCCTCGAAAAGCACAGAAACCTGTAGTAGATCGACTATTACACGCTTTCCTATAATCTGAATTTTAATAACAGACTAGAGAACCAGTCTGAGATCCTGATACGTAGAACAACTCAAGTACAAGACAAGACTTGAGGAACCGAAGAATATGATAAACTGCATCAAGATGAGCCAGTGTATGAACTGACTAACTCGGCTGACAATGAATGAAATGTCCGACCTACTGTTGGCTAGATAAATAAGACTACCTACCAACCTCTGATAGACAGTCAGATCACTCAATTCCTTACCTTCAACAGTAAGCTTTAGGTTTAGAATCATGGGTGATGATGCCGGTTTGCATCCCAGCATCCCAGTGTCCAAGAGAAAATCCAAAACATACTTCCTCTGAGAAAGAACAATACCTCTGCTACTACGGGCAAACTCAATCCCAAGAAAGTATCGCAGAAATATAAGGTCTTTCACATCGAAGGCCTTCCCAAAGGCTACCTTAACCTGTGCAATCCCAGAAATATCATCTCCAATAATAATAAAATCATCCACATATATCAAAAGGATGACACACTACCTAAAAGTATTCCGTTGAATAAAATACGTATGATCAGAATGACATCTGGTGAGCCCTAAATGTATAATTACATCACTAAACCGAGAGAACCAGGCTTGTGGTGACTGTTTCAGTCCATAAAAAGATTTACGCAGTCAACACACCTTCCCAACATACTCCCTCTCACCACAAAAACCTAATGGGGCATCCATATAAATAATCTCGTCCAGATCACTGTGAAAAAACGCATTCTTCACATCTAACTGATGAATAGACCACGAGTACTCCGTAGTCAGAAAAATAATACCTAATATATGAGTAAAGCCTTTCGCCACAAGCCTAACCTTGTGACAATCAATAGTACCATCCGCAAAAAACTTTAGGGTGTAAACCCAGCAACAGCCAACAGACTTCACTCACGAAGGTAAAAAGACAAGATCCCATGTATGATTGCGTTGAAGAGCGTCCATCTCCATTTGCATGGCAAGAACCCACTAGGACTCCCGCATAGCTTCTGAAACAGAACGAGTAATCGGCATATCTGATAAGACCATATTATAAGCTCTGAATGTAGGAGATAGATCACTATAAGAAACATAAGCAGAGATCAGATATAAAGTCTTGGCGGTCTAATCATAACGAATAACTGGACGGCGATCACGCCGTGGATAACGACACCCTAAATCATCATCCTCCACTGACAATGTCTCATCAGAAAAAGTAGTTGATTTAGTATCTGCAATTTTATCAGTACTAATAACAAGTGCATCAATATGTTCAATGAACTGAGAAGTATTACTTACATTGCNTGCAATTTTATCAGTACTAATAACAAGTGCATCAATATGTTCAATGAACTGAGAAGTATTACTTACATTGCCTGAGGTAGAGGGAACATCAGCTAGGGATGTTCAAATTTTCGACCGGCCACAAGTTCCTACCTTACCTAACCCTACCCTACTGAATGGCTAGCCGCAAAAATCATATAGAAATGTGAAAGAATTTTTGGTCTTCCGGCAATTTTCGGGTAGGAATGCAGAATAGCCATCTATTTTCGCATTCCTACCCTACCTTACCCGCAATAATTTTTTAATATATATATATAAACTAAAAAAATCCTAAATCCTAACCATAGGCGGAGCAATTATGATTTTAATGGATTTCATATGGTTTAAAGTTTAAACTTAAATTAATTGTTATTGTATTTGTGTAACAATTATGGTGAATTGATATTCATACTTTTTTGTGTTTTATTATAATTCTTGTTGTAGTTGTTTTAGATTTTAGTGTTAATTGATTTATTGTGTTGTTAAATTGGTACATGTTATTTAATTAAATTGTTAAAATAATCCAAAAATTAATTGTTACAAAAATGTTTACCCGACTTCCTACCCGATTAATCGGGTAGGAAGTCAGGTAGAAATACCATAACTGTTGGGTAGGGTAGGCCAAGAAAAAACTCTTCCGCAAAGTATCGGGTAGAAAGACGGAAGAGCATATTTCCTACTCGTAGGGTAGGATGAACACCCCTAACATCAGCAGTGGAATGAGAGCGAGGGCGACGAACATAAGCTTGCAAAAGAAAAGAGACTGGTGACTCTATACTGTCAAGGACGAGTAGCTCTAGAAGAGGAGAGACTGATGACTCTGTAGTGATAGTGACTAATGACTCTAGCTCCTATGGTAACGAAAAATTAAAGGGAGTATCATCAACTAAAGGGACAGACATAGGACCGGAAGAAAAATAAGGAATATGCTCAAGAGAGGTAACATCTAGACTATGATACATATAGCGCCTGATAGGATAATAACACAGATATCCCTTAGACTGATGACAAAAACCCACAAAGACACAACGAATCGCATTATCATCAAGCTTATGACGAGTAGGAGACCGATCCTAAACAAAACATGTGCAACAAAAAATACAAGGGGAGACCGAAAAAAGTGTCCGCTCAGAGAATAAGACCTGTAAGGGAGCCCTATGCTAAAGAACACGACTCAGTGTACGATTGCACAGAAAGGTAGAAGTCAAAATAACAAAATGTCAATAAGATTTTGGTACCCCCATACCTCTAATCATACAATATACCATCCTTATTAGACTCCTATTTTTCCTTTCAGCACCTCTATTTTGCTCAAGAGTATATAGACAAGTGAGCTGTTGAAAGATACCCTAAGAGGAAAGATGAGATACTAAGGCATCAGACACATTCTTTGGCATTATTTGAACGAACAGTACAAACAATGACATTGAATTCTGTCTTAATCCCCCGGAGAAACTGAGTGATGATAGGGAGTACATCAAACTTCCTATGCAAAAGGTAGACCCAAGTACAACGAGTATGGTCATCTATAAATATCACATAATATCGAGCACTTGACAAAACAGTAACAGGAGAAGGTCCCGAAATATCAAAGTATATTAGGTCAAATGGCTTAGATGGTTGGTGCATGCGAGGAATATAATTGGTCCAAACATGTTTCGATAAGAAACATGTACGCAAAATATAAAAGTCATAGTAAAGGTAAAAAAGAGAAAAAGAAACCCTAATAAACTAGACCATACTCTAACAATAGCAAATTATAACAATAAACAATTGTAGAACTCCAAAGTTTTCAAGTTTTTTTAGTTGGGGTTTCCTTGAAATTTCAAATTTTGGTTCTTGAATTTTACTATCTCTGGCTTCTTTCAAACCCCATGACCCCTGTTTTTCATTCATAAAAGAAAATGAAACTCAGTTTTCTTGTTTGATATGCCATTTATTTATGATAAAATGCTGAATACATGTACATGTGTTTCAATGAATTTACACATTTATCATTTATTTGTCTACCTCTATTCACACTTGTCCACTAAAGAGTTGCTGAAAACCTTAAATATGCATTTACTTGAAGTTGCCATAACTTATGGCAGTAGGTTTTTCTTCTTCCATGGTCTAAATTTTGCTAAGATGTCCTTATAAATCACAATACATCAGTATCAGATAACCCAAGCTAAACTGCATCTAGACATCTCATTCTGAACTTGTTATTGTCAATTCAAGAAATAAAGCTCTTCTCTTTTCTCCAGTAGCACAGACAATTAAATAACAAACTGCTAAACATAATCAGCAACAAAAAAGAGTTATAAATTTGAGCAAGAAGATGAAACATAGTCTAAGAAGAAATTATGATTTGTACATATGATATTAAGCACAATACTTATAAATAAAAGCAAACTGTGAAGTGGAATATGTCTTCCATGCACGTGCATCTTCCTAAATACCTGCTGAAAGAAGTGGCGAGCTTCATCCTCCTGGAGTCTACCCTTCCGTGTAGTATAATACCATAGTTCACCTGAATTCATATACTCCATGACAATATATATTTTTTCACGAGTCTCTATGGCCTCATAAAAGCGAACTATATGAGGATGTGAAAGTAGCCTCAGTATATTGATTTCACGTTTCACTAAAACAACAGCATAAGGAAGCAATTGTCATGTACTGTCATGTAAGTCAATAAATAGCTTCAGTGATAATATTATTTGAGTACCAAATAAAGTAAGTAAAATCATGGGCAGTGAACAAGGAAATTTTGGAAAACAAATCATGGAAATCAAAATATTAACCACAAAATTGTAAGTCTAGATCTTGGCTATTAATATCTCAACTTCAATCCCAAATGCATTTGGTTTGCAATGTACCAAGGGGTCAGATGTAGATGATAGCAATACAGAGCACAGAGGACAAGTCAAGGGAGGCGGAAACAAATGTTGATATACGGAACCTATTGGATGAACAATCAGTTATTTCTACTGAAAAGAATCCCCATGCGAGAACTTACTAGGAGCTCCTGTCCAATTATCTTATTACTATTCATATGGTGCCCTTTGGGCCTGAAAACACACTGCAGAGCTGGATTGTGAAAAATCTGGAGTTCGGTGGATGTGATTCATGACCTGCAGGGGATGATAAGGGGTGGATATTGTTGGGTGATTATCTTTCTTGTTCTCCTCCATTGCTTTCTTCTTTGCACCCTGAGATTGAAAAGTCTGAGGAAAGAGGGAAGGTGTCCAATTCAAATTAATTCCAAAGTCATACTGATGGGCTTGTCAGGGAAATAAAACTGTTAGTGGACAGATCCTCACTGCTTATGGAGGTAAATTTCCAAAAATAGAGTGACTTTTGTTTTATATTATATTAATCCATTGCCTCTAGCTTTTGTTCTTATGATTTGATTCCTTATCCACCATCTTCGTTACCTTTTTTTGCTAATAAAAATATCTTCTCTTAGCAAAAAAAAATTGAATCCCACCCGCATGATAGTCCATGTAAGAATATCAACTCAAAGTGTCAGGAGTTCTAGGATTTCTAAATCTTGGATTTAAAACCTTAACAAGAAAAATGCATTTTCAAACTCATCTTTCCAAAACTCAACGTATTAGTAAACATGCTCACACACTGTTCCAGAATAGGATAACCACTTATGAGGACCAAACAGCAACCATAGGTCACTACTACAGGATAATAATGTAGGTCTGAGCTGCGAGGGGATATAATATTTGATCTCCATAACAATTAGAACTTATAAGTTGACATGAAACTGATAGTACCTACAATGCATACCACAATGATATAAATCTAATTTGCAATCATACTCATAGCAATACGAGAAGTTATAAGAGGTGATGATCAAGTGAAGCAGTAGCCCTACAAAACCAGACCCATTGTCACAAGTAATGGAAGATCCTAATTAATTTAGGCCATGTTTCATGACTTTATAACCAGGGCAGGAGCAACAGTATCTCGTCATTCAAACAATTTTAACATGGGCATGGAATAACTACCTTTCTTCATAAAGGGTTTCTATGGAGATTTCACGAGAGATATGAGCAAATCCATAATCAACTAAGAAGCCAGCAAGGATTGGGTCATGTCATTCCACATAGGATACCTACTCCTCAACAGATGCATTTGCTTATGTCTAAGATCTATGACATAGCTTGTAGAGCTTTTTGATTCACTCTCAAGAGGAAAATATGGGAAAAAGAAAGGAATATTGATGAGCAATGATTGGACAAGTGATCTAGCATTGGATTAAACCTAGTCCAAAGTGAGAGAAAATACAGTCTCAATTTCCTAAACCTTGTGTATTTTCTGTTGAATCATACCTACATAATAAGACTGTCGAATATACAGTGCAAGTTTAATTATCCAAATGGGTCCAGCTTATATTTTTATAGACTTGAAAATAAATTTCTTAACTGTATATTTAGTTTATTAATTGGGGTAATAATTTGATTTCTGAGGAGCCTATGCCAATCTGAGGGAACATGGCTCCATTTTTATAATAAACTTAAGTTTATCATCCATGTCAACATTATATGGTAATACAGAAACTACAATTCGAGTATAAACAGATGAAATGCTTAAGGTACAATTTTGTTTATGTACATGATGATCAATTTAAAACAGATTCAACTAATCTACTAAGGCATAATTTTTAGGGACAACAAAGGAAACAGTTCTGATATTATTTAATTGCCACTTGAGACCTTTCTTTACAGAGTAACGTGCTTTCCGGTGTAGCCACAAAGTCTAATTTTCAACTGGTACAGGGTTGGCATCACATCATGTTATCATTGTCAAATTTTCATATCGAGCATAAATTCTTGATCGGTCATGCAATCTGACAATATAAAGTCTTCATAAAGATATGACTAACGATTATCTATTTGCAAGTTCAATATAATGTTGCAACACTTGAGGTAACACGCAGGGGAGTATTTATGAACCTGAAATATATATCATGCTCCTCCAATGCTTTCATTGGTGGGTAAGTGTTAGATGCAGAATATCATGCACTATCCCATAATTATTTTCTTTATTACACCTCTAAACACTCGAAAGAGTGAAAACACTAAAGCTTTAATAATCTTAGTGTGAAAAAAAACTGTTGCTTGATGTTTATTTCTTACCATATGTAAACTAGTAAATAATGTTGCCATCCTGTAACTATAGAAAATTAAATTTTGTACAACTGGTAGGCAATCATACAACATACCTGTTTCTGCTGATAAATTGGCAATTGATTGACGATCAAGGATCTTTATAGCAACTTCAATCCCTGTTAAAACATGAATTGCAAGTTTCACTTCACTAAATGTTCCGGTACCAATGGTCTTCCCCAACCTATAGTTCGAAATAGTATGTGATGTGCTACGCTTCACATTAGTTCCATCCATTTTACAGCTGCCGAAAATATGTAACTACAAGTTATATAGTAGCAGTGACCCATAAAAAAAAAAAGCAGATAAACAGAAGGCAGCAATAGCAGGCAACTATGCACGTGGTATAACCAAAAATTAAAGCAGTATCTAGCATGCCATAACAATACACCAAAAAACTATGAGGTTGTTTGGTTGGTGTATTCTAGAGGAGATTAAAGAGACATACTAGATTAAAAATTTTTAATTTGGGTTAATAACTTAATACTACGTTTGGATGTAAAAAATACATTGTACTATGAATAGAATTAATCATACAAGTATCCCATGTGGATAACGTTAATAAAGTGTACCCAAACTATTGAACTCATTTTAATACCACCAAAAGAGGTAGTATTGTAATCCATCCTAGATGTATTATATCGTTTAAATTTTATCCCCCACAAACTAATAAAACCCTTGTGTCCATCTTTTTTAACTTATATGAAACATAACCTAAACACCGTGACTTTTAAACGAATAACAATGAGCTCCTACCTTCCGAAAAGCATGACTCCTAACATTTCTTTGAAAAAATGTATCAACTTCTTAAAATAGGTAAACTATAAAAGACACACCTCATTCACCTAATTGATGGCCATATAGACAATGATAAAGAATGACGCCCATAACAAATAAATGCATGTAAACAACAATATATATTTAAGCAATTAAAGTATTTCAGTTTGGCTCAAATATTTATTTGAAAATATTAAAATGAATAATATTTATATAACTTTTGGTCCAATTGATTTCGTACTACCAAAAAAGGATGCACCACACCGGATAAGATTGAAGTGAATTGAAGGCATTTTAACCAACTCAATATTATTATCATACTGGCTACGTATTATCTAACTTTTAGGGTGGGTTTGCTTTAGAAAGAGGGATTGAAAAAAATAATGTCTTGGCCCACCTTATACCACTTACACCCAATTCAGTATATTTGTTGATATGGTGACTAAGCCTGTTCCAATGCTGAAGTTCAGCCATTTTTTTTTTTTCAAGTTCAGCCATTACTTGCATTTGCTTGGTGTTCATAGTGTTCGAATTATATACCCTTATGGGTTTCTAGAGAAGGCATCCCAACATGTTTACTTTTGTTTCATGGTTTGATAGTATACAAGAAAGAGTGGAAATATAAAATCATAGCCAAGGTGGAGATTTGTCAGATAGTGTCTCAAATTCCAAAGTCTTCTAAGAAAGGACATTAGCCCTTAATTAAATCTTATTCATTGGTCAGGAGTAAATCTTTGTCTTCTACAAACAAGGTTGTAGACCAAGTAGTTTGAGATCGAGATTTAGCATGAGATTTTGACTACCCCCAATTTTGGATTTGCTTTCTTGTTTTGAGAATTTTGTGTAATATCTTTCGTTGATTTATGTTTCGCATGAAGACATAGTCTTTGGAGCTGAATCACATTTTTTCAAGTGCTTTGTTGTTTTTTTTTTTATAATATCTTTTGATGTCGTTTGTTGCCGTCCAAAATTTCTTAATTATAACTTACCCACAAATTTGTTGGTGTCCTAGTACATGTATCATCTACTCCACAATATTATGAAACCACTAAAAAACTATGTGTCCTAGTACATGTATCATCTACTCCACAATATTATGAAACCACTAAAAAACTATTAGGGTAAATTATAATTTACACCCATAAAAGTATGCACCAAATTTCTATTTGGTCTTTGAAGGTCTAATTGCAAACAATTAAATCCTTAGAGTTTTAATTGAATTTCAATTTGGTCCTTACATTAAAATTCACTAATTTACTATCATGGAATAGTCATCCGTGAGGATATATTTGTCTGGTGATATATTTTTCCTTTATTTCATCAAATTTTGAGAAAAACAATAAGATAATGAAACTGAAAAAAAATATATATAGATTGAGAAGTTGAGAGATATTGTGTGAGAGACACAGAGAAAGATTGATGTATTTGAGAGAGATTTCTTTGGGTAGACAAATATAATTTTATGGGCAAATCCTGTGGCAACAAATTAACACATTTGGATGAAAGGATTAGATTGAAACTCAGTTATAACTTTAAGGATGTAATTATTTCAATTGAAACTTCAGGGACCAGATAGAAATTAGGTGCATAATTTAAGGGTATAAAATGTAAATTATCCAAAATGTTATTCAAATCTTCCACCCTTTGTGTCACAAAATAGAAGTAAAAAGGAAACTTTTTTACAGGAAAACACAACACAACAGACTGTTTGGTATACCGAACGAGCTATCAATCCAAGCAAGCAGGTACAAAGTGAATCAAACATAACTGATATATACACCATGAACAACGATCAAACACAACAAAGAGTTTCCATAGAACAACACACAAACCCAATTAAACTACGTATTTATATGTGTGTGTTTGCTTGTACATACCAAGTTACAGCTTCCTGAAGGGATTCTGGATAAAATTGAAAGCGCAGGAAACAAAAGGAGATCAACCTCAATGAATTGAGATTGCAACAACCTATGATCAATAGAATTATAAACTTGTTGATAATCACAACCACTGAACAAAGAAACCTCGAATATGTCAATCTAAACAAAATAGGGCGATGAAAATCGGTTAACTTTACGTACCTATATACATATATATATGTGTGTGTGTGTGTGTGAGAGTATCGAGAGAGAGAGAGAGAGAGACCAAAAGGAAGCTTACAAAATTTAAGAACAGTAGTAGGCACTCATTTGGAAGCTTCCAACTTTCGCTTGAGGACGGAGACAAATAGTGGAGTACAGGGAGTGAGGACAGTGACAACTGAAGGGAGGAAGGGTTAATACGACTTTTGACATGTATCTTTTGTTAATTTAGTTTTTAATATACTAATTTTATTAATTTCGTTTTTAAAATATATAATTGGTATAATTTTTCACTAGGTGATATCGTCTAAATAAATATACGTGCCACTTCTGTAAAAAAAAAATTAATAGTCCGTTTATATAAAAATCTAAATGACATGAATTAAATATTTTAGAGATTAAATTAATATAATTAATATACTAAAGATTAAATTAATAAAAATATATATATTTTAAAAATTAAGAATACTATTAACCCGATAAAGAAAGCACTTGACGGTGACCAACTTTGGGGTGACTTGGTTTGTGGCGGATTGACCTACTTTTGTTTTGTTTTTCAAAACGTCCTGGAGTTATAAAATCTCTGATTTTATTAAATATTTAACATAACAGTGCTATGTACTAATTATTGTCGCAGAATATTACTGTTTAACAAAAAGATAATAAATTGATAAAATAAATTTCACTATTCTAATGATTGTCCATAACCATCGCATTCAATCATGGACGTGGGATTAATGTGATTTATTTTATCTATTTATTACTTTGTATTAAATAATAATATCACAAATGAGCTGTTACATTAAATAGGTACTTATTTATGTTAAACAATACCCGGACCTCTTTTATTGTAAAAAGATAAGGAGCACCCTTATTTTATACAATCATAACAATAATCGCACCTCATCACAAGAAAAATATTACGTCAAGGGAAATACTGCAATTCATGATGTATTTATCAAATCTCTTATGCAAAAATAATGTCAATCATTAAATCAATAAATTCTATAAATTTTTACATTCATTCAATGAATATTAATGTATCACATTATTTATAAACTACAATTTGATAAACATTTTGATGGATAGAGCATTTACTACAACAAAACAAACTTTTTCCGTGGAAAAATTTCCTCGGCAAAAGTTACAAAATTGTCAGTGAAAATATTTACCGAGGAAACATATAGAGGATTTTTTTTTCTATTTTTATTTAATTTTTTAGTTTTTATTAAATCACTTTTAAATTCAATATCATACATATAATCTATAATATAAAATATTATAGGTTTCAATAAGTTTATTTGATGGTCTCAAATAGATTTATCCAATGATCACAAATATTCTTGTCAAAATCATTCACATTTTACCGTATATATATAGAGAGAGAATNTCAAATAGACTTATCCAATGATCACAAACATTCTTGTCAAAATCATTAACATTTTACCGTATATATATAAAGAGAGAAGGATGTATGCGTGTGTGAGGGAGAGAGAAGGGGAAAAAAGAAAGGAAGAAGAATGTGGGTGTTTGGGTTCATGTTTAATGTACACATATAAAGGATAATTGTGTTTGGATGCATAAATTATTGTAAAATACCAAAAATATCCCTCAAGAGTTGGATATGACATGCACATGATATTTTCCGTTTCTTTTTTTAATGGCAGTTAATGCTAAAGACCGCAGTAACTCAATGTTTGAACTTTATGAACAAAATTGATAAAATTAAAACTTTAATGACTAAAATACGATGAGTGATAGCCTTCAGAGACTATTAGTATAATTTACCCCAGTTGATATGATGATTCGATGTAGTGATTAGTTGAACCGATTTTTACTAATTACTTTACAAATGAACTAATACCCAATACCCAAAAGAGCTTATTACTCAATTTATACTATTAATTAAGGGAAGAAAATTTTATTGTCACATTATTTATTAATCACTGAATTCATGCTCTCTCACAAGTTTTAAAAAATAGATTACATTATATACGGATGTCTCATATACTCCAACCAGTTGCGGACATCCATAGAAATTTGCTACAAATGACCAATTGACAATTTAGTGGACCCAACAGACTAAAACCCTCAATCTTTTTTTTTTTGCTGGTTACAAAAGGGGATAAGGACAAGGTAGAGCGCCTAGCGATTATTCTGATAGGCTCTCATCGAAGGGATCATTAAGGCCCTTGATCGTGAATAGAACACTCCTTGAGACCAGACCTAACTAGGCTAATATCGCGGTCAACCATCAAGCTCCAATGAGGACTTCANATCAGAGTTCTCCTTCTTTGCACCTACAAGAGTTCATATCGAAAGAAAGTGTGTGTGAGTCTTTACTTGTGTTAATTCTTAAACCATTGTTGGTCTTGAAAA